TGTGTGAGTGTGTGTGAGTGTGTGTGTCTGTGTGAGTGTGAGTGTGTGAGTGTGTGTGAGTGTGTGTGTGAGTGTGTGTGAGAGTGTGTGAGTGTGTGTCGCTCTGAATGAGTGTCCGTCTCTGAGTGTCTCTGGAAGGATAAAGGCTCTTCGTCTGTCGTCCTGCAGAGTGTTGTGTTGATCAGAGGTTCACAGCTTCATTGTTCTCAACAATATCTGATGACATTTCTGCTGTAATTACTAAGCTGCTCGTCTTCAACATTTATTATTTACAGAAACTAGAAGTGGACATTTAAATTAGTCTGAAGTTAGCATGAAATTAAATTTACTTGTTAAAGTTTTTTTTAATATTTGACTTTTTTTTCTGTATATTGGACCCTAATTTTTAACTAGAAGTGCCCAAGTGGCCTACATTTTTTTTGTTTCACTAAAAAGAAAGAAAAGACCAGTCACTACTTCCATTTCATTTTGACTTTAAATATTTAAAAACTTAAATAAGTAATGTCATTAATTTAAATACAGTTTCAGTGTTTTATTAATATTAATTAATATATAATAATTCAAATATATTAATATTAATTAAAATGATTTAATAAAAAAATTCAAGGTAGCCTAAATACATTTCTGAAGTTTCAAGAGCTGAATTTTCCAGCAGATCATAATTATGCCATTTGTACAATTATTTATTTTACTTGCGAGTAGAAATTTCTACCTAATAAAATGTTTTAGAACTGGACATAACTTGAAAAAACAGAAATATCAATGACTCTTTAAATATTGTATTAGTTTCTCCAAGTCTAGAAATCACACTTTTGAAGTTTCCCCTTTATATATATCTAGCTTTTCCAAGACTTTGAATCCTGTTTCTGAAATAAAAATGTTGTTGAGGGATTGAATTGAAATAAGAAATGTGATGTCTTGACTTGAGCTGTTTTAGCTCTATTTAGTCTGATTTGAGATTGTTGTTGAAGACATTACTCAGACACGCGTGTGTGTTTTTCTGAGTCGGTCTGTCTGATTCTCAGTGCGGTTCTGCTGGAAACACGTCTCTGCGCTTTGATTTCTGAACGGCTGAGCGATGCAGAGGAAGTGAAGTGAAATGAAGCGGCTGTTGTTTCCTCTGATAGTTTCCTGCACACTGTGTGTTGGATGAGAGAGAGCGCGAGTGTTCGTCTCCTAACCTGCTTACTCTCAGCAGGGATGTCCGGTCCTGAGGCGGTCGCCATGGCGACGGGTGTGTTTGTAGATGAGACGGATGCAGCGAGTCTGTCATCACCCGTCACCTGCGCAGTGACCTTTGACCCCATCAGGCAGACGTGTGTGTGTGTGTGTGTGTGTGTGTGTGTGAGAGGGAGAGAGAGGACTGAGTGTGAGTGCGAGTGTGTGAGTGTGAGTGTGAGTGTGAGTGCGAGTGTGTGTGAGTGTGAGCGTGAGTGTGAGTGTGTGCGTGTGAGTGTGTGTGTGTGTGTGTGTGTGTGTTAGCAAAACTGGCCCTAAATTTTCATGTGCTCTTGATGGACTGCAGAGGGAGTTTGGGGGTCTGACGGCACAGTTTTGTGTGTATCTGTGGTCTGACGGTGTGTGTGTGTGTGTGTCAGTGGCGTTTAGACCGGCGTGATGACGGAGGAGCGCTGTCCTCAGCTGGTGGATTATTTCGTGGTGGCGGGTCTGTCAGGCGCCGGGTCTCCGCTGGACGAGGAGGGTGAGCGGAGGGGCGTGAGAACGCTGCAGCCCGTCACTGATCTGGCTGTGATCGCCCGCGGTCTCGGGGAAGACGTTCCTGAGGGATTCACCTGCATCGAGAAGACCCAAGCAGGCCATCCGGCGGAGCTGAGCGCAGGCCTGCTCAACAACACACACATGTTCCTGTGCTACCGCAGAGGACACGACAAACCACCCGTCGTCGAGCTCGGGTGAGGAAAAATAATATCTCCATATTTTCTGGGATTCTATCGATAACGATAATCAGACGATATTGTGCTGAGTGTGTTATTGTGCTGGTATCTTAAAGACTGCCGTAGACAGCTGACTCCTAAAGTTTTTCATATTCTTGTGCTGGTCAGTTCACACTGAGAGAAATTAATCTTTTGCAATAAGATTTTTACCTTTTATGGACATTTTTACCTTTATAAAGCCATTTTTCTATAAGTGTGCATTGTCTTTTGAGTCAAATTCTTACATTTAATCAGTGAATAAGAATAAGACATTTGGGCTGTTACCAAGCAAATTAAATCAGTATCAACACAATTCATCTTTGCAATGCAGAGGAAACACAGAAGCTGCGTCTGAAGAGGTGTTTAGATGTGTTTACACACTGTTTAATGCAGAACATGAATGCATTTAACCTGCAGTTACAAATGCATAAATAATGTTTTGATATATTAAACATAAAACATTGAATACTGATATTTGAAATTATTAAAAAAAATGAAGATACTTTAAATGTGAAATTAAAACCGCCAGTAGGTGGCAGTAAGTCACTGTTAAGTGAGTCATTGCGAATGAACCGAATCATTTAAACAGTTGATTAATTCAGGAACAAAACACCGTCATGTTGCTCAGAGACGCAAAACAGCGCTGTGGCGTTGTTTGGAATTATTTTTGTTGGCGAAATAGTGCAAAAACAGGCAATATGGTGTCTAAAACGTAAGTCTCTTAATAAAACTTCTAGTTTATTGAACTGTTGTAAAAAATCAATATCACATTTGTATATGATAATTTTTGGAGAAAAAAAGGCACTCTTCCGTGTGAAATTGATTAACTATATGAAATGATATAAATACTATATACATTTTATGTCCCCATATCTTGAATTTGTGATCATTCTAAATGTATTTTATTGGACTGAATCATGCAGTGAAAGAACAAACTCTAAATGCGCACGTGCACTAGTCTAGATTTCATGTAATGTATGCGTGCACTCTGTAGGGGTGTTTTGAATGGTTTTTGCAAAATACTCGATAATGTCAAATCACACATCGTTAAAACAACAATTACGATATTATCGCAGACGATATATATCGCACACCCCTAGTTGGAGCTAAACTCTGCAGTGCATTGGCCCTCCAGGGCAAGATTTGAGGAACCGTGA